GGGAGCGCCCCGGCCCACCCAACCCAGCCCGCCGGCCTACCGCGGAGACGGCCACACCCCAGCCTTGGCCTCAGCTGCAGGGAGCCCCAGGCGGCCAGAATCAGAGTCAGAGAAGCAGCTCTTCTAGACCGAGTTCCTGCCTCGTGAGCCTTATAGGCACAGACTGAGGCCCCCAAACCCGGCACCTGAGTCTTAGAGACCCCCTCCCACCCAGCCTCTTGCTAAGTGATTTGTCCCAGACAGACTTTTGGGGTTGGTGGCAGGAGTTGAACATGTTCTCAGGCTCAGTCAGACCTCTGGTTCTGAGACCTTCCATTCGAGACCTTGACAGACATCCCAAGTGGCATACATTCCAGACACAAAGAAATTTCTGAGGGAGAGATAAACACAGTGAACCCACCCACAGACTCTAAGCTGGGACCTTCTCTCCAAGACTTGGAAATAGCCACAGATAAACAGAAGACCCAGATGCAAGCTCCACGCAGACTCAGGGGAAACACTCCAGGCAGCCAAACCCCCACTAGCCTGCAAGACAAAGCTCTTCCCCAACACTGAGATGATCCTTGCCCATTCCCAAACAGCCCTTTCCCAAGATGCTGGTGAACACAGAGAAGAAAGCAAAACACAGGTTACAGCCACAAAGTAACAAGAGGCCTTCCCTGGAATGAGAACCTGAGAAATCAAAGTGGAAGTGAGACATTCTAGAGATGGGTATGGATAGACAACTGTGCTGCAACTACTCTTTGGACAGATCTGAGCACTGGACTGTGGGTTTCAACCCAGGAGCAAATCAGAATAACTTGGGTAGGCTTTTAAAAATGTTAATGCTCAGGACACCCCCAGTCCAATTCTGTCAGAAAGGGCCCACGTTTTTCTTTTTTTTTTTTTTTCCAAGTTATCTGTGTGGTTCTAATGTACAGTCTGAGAACCAGAGACCTGGATAAACACCCACAGAGGCACAGAGACACCGAGTGCCAACCTTAGCTCCCAGAAGCAGACCCTGGGAAACCCAGCCCAGCACTCTCCTCCAAGTAAGGCTGCCAACTGAGTAGTCAAAGATCTGGAAGCCAGGTGACAGAAACTCTACCTTGGACACCAAAGCAATGTGAGTCCTTCCCTCTCCTGATGCTACTAGCCTAAGGCTTTGGCTCTCTCTGAGCACTACTAAGACATTGCTTCAGAGACTCCAGGCGCACAGCAGGTCTTCCTTAGATGACAGTGAGACATATGGCCCAAGAGATGAAAATGGATCCAGAGACTGAGGGCCCAAGATGGGCAAAGGACAGTCAGTAAACTGTAATGGCAAGGACTGACACACACCCCACCTTCACAGCACAACCAAGGTCTATGTGTCCAGCTGGATGGCTGTATCTAAGCAATGAGGCCCCATGACCAGGAAGCAGACTTCCCCTGGGACCCAAAACCACGTCCTAGAAAGAAGCCTGGGAACTTCACCCTATCCCAGGGCTCCAGGAACCACTGGTCAATTACTTTTGAATCTCTTACATGACAAGCGTGGCCTCATCAAGGACACAGAGACCTGGATAAGACGCTGCTTGGTGGGTGAAGGGGTGGAGGTGCTCCCACAGGAAAATAAGCAGAAACATGATACAACACAGGTATCCAACTCCAAAGTTTTTAATCTCAACTCCAAAGGGCTGGGCCAGGCCAGGTACCTGGGGCCCTGGGCTGTTCTCCTTCTCCTGGGCCCCATACCCAGAGCCTGGCCTCGGCTTCTCACTCCTGGGTCTTCAGACCATCATCCTGGGGTCTCGGTTCCATCTTCTCATCAGACTTCAGTGATGACTCCTCCTGCTCAATCTCCTCTCTTGCCCGTCTGAGGGAGGTCACCTTCACAGCCAACTCATTCTTGGGTCCCCTCCCAGGGGACATCAACAGTCTAGGCTGGGACTCTGGCCCCTGACTCAATCCCCATCACCACAGCCAGTAAAGCCTCAGTCAAGAGCCCTGCCTCTTCACCTGCTGCCTCTACAAGCCCCACCAGGGCCAGGGCTCGCTTTCTTGGGCACTGCCCTGGCCCCAGTGTCCAACGGGCACAGTGGGCAGCCAGCCGGGGCCGGCCCAGGCGGAATACTTCACCCACTGACTCTGGGCCACATTCAGGCCCCAGGTGGATACGGCCCACAGCCTCTTCCAGCTCCTCCTCCAGCTCAGGCAGCAGGAAACGCCCAGCAGCCTCCAGTGCCTCCTCAGCCTCTGAGCCCAGCAGGGGCTGGCCTAGTGGAGGCACAGGCCCCAGGGCAGCCCCACAGCCCCGGCAGCCATGCAAATGGTGCAGGACAGGCCAGGCTGCACTGGGTGACAGACCTCGCAGTGGCACCAGGTCCATCTGGGCTTCCGCAAAGCTGCCAGATAACAGGGCCCGGAAGAAAGGGGAGGCGGTAGCCGAGGCAGCTCGCTGGGCAGGGAGATGTAGGCCTGAGTCCAGCAGGAAGCGCAGGTCAGGAGCTGGGATGGGGGCTGGGCCCAGCAGAGGTTCATAGAGGCAAGGGGAAGGTGGGTCTAGATCCATGGGGACTGTAGGTAGGAGAGCTGGGCTCCCAGTGGGAGACACCAGACCTTGGAGGCAGGAAAGGGAGTCCGCAGCAAAGAAGAGGAACAGTGGGTGTGGAGCAGGCCGAGTGAGTGCTGTGAGGAGGAGACGGAGGCCACCCTGGTCCAGAAGTAGCCGGCGCCACAAAGAGGGCTTCCTATGGCAAAAAAGAGAGTCTTTCAGGAGGTGGAAAAGGATGAGACTGGGAAACAGCAACATTGCTCCCCAGGCCCCTGCAAGGCATCCACATCTCCCTTACCGGCAGATGAAGGGCAGGGTCAGTGCACAGGCCACACGGTCCTCAGGGCTCCCAGAGAGCAGCAGGTGAGTGAGGGCACCTACTCCAAAGGGTGACTCGGCCTGTACGGTCAGGTTCTGCAGCAGCATCTCACCTGCAGGGATGGGCAGAGCTGGTCAGGTTAGAGCTGGGGATGGGCAGGAAAAGACCCTGAGCCCTTGAAAGGAAGGAGGGTAAAACCTCAGGGCAAGAAATCAGGTCACAGAAGAGAGGGATATCTGCAGACCCCGGAGGGCTGGGGTCAGGACACTAAAAACTAGAAGTCAAGGACAAGAACAGAAAGTGAGATGGTCAGTGTATGAGTCTGAGCCCTCAAGGACTAAACAGTCTGCAGTCATGAGGGGCAAAGAATACAGGGCAGTCCCAATTGGTGGTGGAGTCTGGGGAGAACACAGTGCCTGAGCCTGGCCTCACAAGTTAGTGTGCTTGGTGGGGGAAGTAGTCGGGTCAATGTATAACAAGAGCTGATGGGATAAAGAAATGCAGACGGTCAAGATTCTAGGTTGTCGGGGGCCACATCTGATGTTAGGGTATCTGCACTCCAAAGCCTGGTATGAGAACAGAGCAGAACTCTGCATGCTGAACCTGTGGAGCAGAAGGGAGTGTCCCACTCCCCATCCCTACCCCAACCTAGTAACTGGGGTTGTCTGGAAGGTGGGCTGAGGAAGACAGTGAGAGGGCAGGTGAGTGGTAAGGTGAGGTTCCAGGCCCACAGAAGGCACAGGAAGAGGAAGAAGCCTCTCACATGGGCAGGAAGGTGAGGGACTTACCCAGCTCTCTGTGCTGGCTGCAGCGAGCAGGCCGGGCCCGCGGTGCAGGCCAGTCGTCTGGTGCAACGCCTAGCACCAGCCAGGCACGCAGCAGCGCTGCACCATAGCTGCGCACAAAGGCCTCGAGGCAGGCAGGGTTGCAGGTGAGGCGCGCCAGTATGCGCAGGACCCGTGGGCTTGGTGGGCCAGGAGCACCAGTCACATAGGCCAGTAGGCCACACAGTGCCGGGCCGGTCACCAGTGCCCCGCTTGGGTCAGGAGCTTGGGAGAAGCGCGACAGCAGCAACAGTGCTGGCCCCTCACGTCCCCAAGGCTCCTCAACTGCGGTGGTGGCAGGGCTACGGCCAGGGGTGCGTGGTGTGCATGGCATCCGCAGCGAGGTAGGGCTGGGGGTGGGGCTGGCTGGCTCTCCTGGCTCTGACAGTGGGCACTGCTCAGGAGACCAGTCAGGAGAGATGTCTCCAGGGTCCGCAGCATAGCCCTCGGAGATCAGCCACGACCTGCGGAGGGCAAAAAAGGGAAGGAGGCTGAACCCAGAGCCAGGGAGATGGTGCAGAGTCAGAGGAGCCACCTTGAAAGGAGGTGATGCCAGGGAAGAGGAGCAGGGCAGATAAAGGCGGGTAGGGGAGAAACAGAGGTGGCGACCCAAACCTCACTGAGCAATCTCTGATGCCTATCTGTGCCAAGCCCTATTTTAGGTGCTAGAGAAAAGAACAAAAAAGTCCTTGTCCTCCTGGAGCTTATGTTCCAGTGAGAGAAGGTAGGCAACAACATAAATAAGTAAAACACATGGTATGCTAGTGTGGAGTTACTGTGTAAAGTAACAACAGAGAAAAATAAAAGGGAATAGAAAGAGCTGGGGAAGGAGAGAGTTGGAATTTTAAATAAGTTTACAACAGTAGCCCCCACTGAGAAGGTAAAAGCTGAATAAAGACTTGAAGGAGGTGAGAGAGGAGGGCATACAGAAGGGAAAATGTCCTGGGCAGAGAGAACAGCAACCAGAGACCCCGAGATGGTACCTACCTATCATACTCAAAAACTAGCTAGAAGGACAGTGTGTAGGAGTACAGTCGGCACCAGGCAGAGTGGCAGGAGATGAAGCCAGAGAGTTCACTAGAAGGCTGACATTTATTAAGCAATGCTTACTGCTAGGTAAGGAGCAAAGTACCCTCATGTAACCTTTACAGCAACACCATGGGGAATATATGTTACGCACACAAAAATCAGAGTCTCAGAGAAGTCAATTAGTTCTCCATGATATTTTGGCTCATAAGTGATGGTAACAGAATAAGAACTTGGACTCCAAAGAAAACCACCTTAACCAGTGCACATACTACCTCCCAGTGAACTGTCTGGGGTCTAAAGTTCAAAGGTTCTGGAGTGAAACTAAGGTCAAAAGGTAGATCCAGGTGGGAGGAGGTATGTTTAGTGGGGACTAGAAGGTGGTCATGTCAGAGAAGAACAAGGAATCAGGAGTCCAAGTCAACAAAAGTCTTCCTGAGACAGAATGGAGGCAGGGGTAGCGAAGAGGGCCAGAACAGACATAAACCCCCACTCCACCACATTGCTCACCCTCCCAAGCCCTGAGGTGGGGACTCACCTGAGGCTTTGGAAGCTTCCAGCCTCTGCCCGCTCAGGGGTCCGCTCCTCCGGGAAGTCCCAGGAAGCAGCTTCTCTTCCCTCTTCTTCCTCATCACCAGCCTCACCACACAGCTGCCCAGCCAGAAGAGGTACAAGCCCCAGGGCCTGTAGCCGGCCCAGGGCCCCAGTATCATAGAGAAAGCCCACAAGGGCAGATACAACACGAGGGTGCCAGGCACTGGCACGAGGGTCCCGCAGCAGGCCCATCAGCAATTCCAAACCACCAGCGTCCCGCAGCCGGGCCCGGTTGATGGCCTCCCGGCATAGGAGGCACACAGCTCGTACCAGGGGCTGCTGGGAAACTGGGCTGGACCCATTGGGGCCCCGGCGCCGCCGGAGCTCACCCAGTAGCACCTCCACACCACCAGCATTGCCCAGTGCAGGCCGCACCAGGCCCTGGGCACACAGGTTGGCGAGGATCAGAATGGCTCCCTCGCGGACTGCCCGTTTGGGATGGGAAGTCAAACTAACAAGTGGACCCAGGCCCCCACCCAGACTTAGCTGCTCAGCACAGGCCCGGGAGCAACCTCGGCTGAGTTCCAGGAGGGCACGGACTAGGGCAGAGGTCAGTGCAGGGTCTGGGGCAGCGGCAAGGAGCTCAGCCAGTGGGCGCACTGCTCCCTGCTGTGCCAGGGCCAGGCGGTGCTGGGGTGAGTCTGCCAGGTTGCGGAGGGCACGCACCACACTCTGCAGGCACTGTGAGTCCTGGTAGGCTGTCAGACTCTCAACGAGAAGGGGAACAGCACCTGAAAAGAGGAGGAAAGGGGAGGATGAAGGGTGAGCAAGGATGCTCAGGCCCTTCTACCCCAAGTCCTAGCTAACCCCACCCTCATAGCCTTCTCACCAGCAGAGTGAATGTCCCCACAACTCTCAGGTTCCATGGCTAAGTTCCCCAGAGCACGAGCTGTTCGGTTCTGGATGCTGTCTGTCTTCATGCTCTGAAGAATAGTCACTGCAAGGAGAGTTTGGGCTTGTGAGAGTTCTACCCTTTATTGTCTCTCTCATCAATCACCTCAAGAATGTGACCCAAAAGGGTCGGGGAAGGCTTTCAGAAGAGGCTGACACTTGAGCCAGGCCTGGAGAGCTAAATATTTGCTAAAAGGATGACGATGGGTATGTTAGAGGTAAGACCCAGTGTCTGTGCTATGACCTCATGAAGGCTTCAAATACCAGACCAAAGGGTCAGGACTTGAATGTGAAGGTACTAGGAGCCATGCAAGAGTTTTCAAAACAGGAGTGGCATGATACACTCTAGCATCCATAGAAAGAATTGATTACAGGGGAAAGGAATAGGACGGGGGAGTGGTGAAGAGACTGTCACAACAGTCCAGGCAAGAAAGGACAATGACTTGAACCAACTCAGCTACCAGCACCAACCAGCACAGGTACTGCTTCTCTCTATAGAGAGAAGCGGATGGACTCAGGAGATATTTAAATGCAAAACAGTAACTGAATCATGGGGATTATTTAACGTGCCAGGCCTCTTGTCAAACACATTACAGCCCACGTGAATTTTATATAAATTTTAAATTAGTTAATGCTTCACTTTAACCCCCAAATTAAGATTTCATCAAGACTTGAATAATTTCACGGAGGGTAGGCAATGACCTACAAACTGTGTTCACATCATTGTCACTAGGAGGCACCAATTTAGCTGGTAAAAAGAAAAGCTTACCTTTTGCTGCAATTTGTCTTACTGAGCTAGTCTATTTTATTTTCCCTTGCTTTCTAAGTGACTACTGGATTTTTTTTTTTTTTAGATGATATCTTGCTGGAGTATGCTAGCTATTCACAGGTGCAATCACAATTCACTGCTGCCTTGAATTCCTAGGGTCAAGGAATCCTCCTGCCTTAGCCTGCAGAGTAGCTGAGACTGCAGGCGTACACCACACATGTTCCACTTGTGCTAGTTTCTAATAACTTGAAGCACACAGCCTTATGCTTAGAGTATTTGTATGCCATATTTGTATTTTCTTTTCTCGCCACTCCAATTTTTCAAGGAATCCTAGCCTCAGAGAGGTTAGGTGACTTCTGCACAACCCCTTTTCTTAACCACTACACCTTCTGGCATCCAGCTTACCAAGTGGGATAGTAGACACTGAATGTCTGCTATGAACATCATAACTGGAGAATGAGAATCATCTGAAACAGGGATTTAAAAGCTACTTATCAGCCAGGCACAGTGGCTCATTTTGGGAGGCCGAGGTAAGAGGACTGCCTGAGCCCATGTGTTAGAGACCAGCCTGGGCAACTTGGAGAGACCTCATCTCTACCAAAAAAAAAAAATTTTAGCTGGGCGTGGCGGCGCGTGACTGTGGTTCCAGCTACTTGGAAGGCTGAGGCAGAAGGATCACCTGAGCCCAGCAGGTCGAGGCTGCGGTGGCAATGAGCGTGCCACTGCACTCCAGTCTGGGCGACAGAGTGAGACTCCAACTCAAAAAAAAAAAAAAGGCTATTTATCGGGTATTCACAAATTCTCCCTACTTGGGAAACGAGGACACCAGAAGCCCAACCCCCACCAGTATGTCCAGGTAACAAACATGCACTTGTATCTCTGAATCTAAATTTGTTTAAGTAATTAATTTTTAAAAAAAGAATCATCTGAAAAAGTCACCAAATAACCCTTTGGCTTCTGTCAGTCCAGATGTGAGAAAAGTGCCCAACAACTGATACCCAGATAAAGGCTGCAATTATCAGGTCTGGGTGGCCTCGAGTATAATCTACAGAGAGCAGTGACGTCACGGGGCACAACACCTTGAGAAATGAGGGGGTGCTGCGTCATTACAAAGCATGTTATTCCGGGCTATGACCCGAAGGACTCAAGACTGCCCAGGTCCAAACAAAGAGGCAGACGCCGGTGAAATCTTTCTAGGAAATGGGGGCGGAACACTTACCCAAAGAAAGTATACCTCCGAGTCTGCGCACTTCAGCTCGGCACGCCCCTTCCGTACAGCAGTTGGCTAGGATGCTGAGCGCCAAGTCCAGAGTCTTGCGCAAGCGCACTGGCGGCGAAGGCGTCGAAGATGACACAGCGGAGGGGGCGGAGCCCGACGAGGGGGCGGGACCAGAACAAGCAGCTGACACGACCGACGAGGGGGCGGAGCCAGAGCCTGCCTGGGACGGGGCGGGGTCCGCAGCCGCCGCTCGCCGTAGCAGCGCGAGGAGGGGGCGGAGCCCGCCGCGTGCCCGGAAGCGCTCGATTCCCCCCGCTGCCTTGATGTGGCGCGTGCGGAGCGCTAAGAGCGCACGACCCAGGGGTGTCTCGTTGGTCGCTGGGTCCTTTTCCCCACCCAGACCCTCCCCGGCCGCCGCTGCGAGCTGCGCGAGGCAGAACGAGAGCGAGTCCGCGGAGGTTGGCTTCGCAGCCGCCATCTTGGCTCAGGCCTAGGCTCCGCCCCCCTTCTCGCCACTTATCTGAGGGAGAGGCCCTGGAAGAGGGGCGTGGCTAGGCTCCTCCTCTCTGACGCTTTTCAGATAGCGCCGCAGTAGTTATCAAGCGAGTCGGAAGTTGTAGTTCTCGTTGGTGGAACTCTGATTCTTGCACAGTCGCAGGAAGCACTTTTGGGGCGAGGGTATCTAATCATCGTGCGAGCCCAGGAAGCGCGTGCGCTGCGTGCGGGGATGCGTAGTCGGCTCCAAGCTTCACACGCCTACCTTCGGATGGATGGGAAACGCTCTTCCAGGGGTCTCCGAGTGGGCCGGCGCCTCTGGAGAACCCAGACGTCCACCCGTGAAGTCTTGGTACCGTGCAGCTCCGCCCCTGGCGTGTCCCTGGCAGGGACCGCCTTTCCTCCTTCAGGCTCGCTTCGCTGCCCCCCAGCGGCGGCCGGGGCCAAAGTCCGGGCTGACGGACTCCGAGTGCCCCGAGCCAGGCCGAAGATGTCAAGTTCCCGACAGCGCCGCAGAGGGGGAGCCGTCTCTCGGTCAAGTGAATGAGAAGGTTAAATCTACCGAGAACGCTCGCTGCCGCTTTATAGAGCAGCACGGGCTTGTGGACTTGAATGTTTCCTGTGCCAGACCCCTAGTTTCCGAGTGCCCCGCGCTCTGGCTTTCTTCGCTTGTGCGCTCAGTAGCTGGGCTCTAGGAAAGCGGGCGCTCTTCGCCCGCCATGGAGTCAGGCGGCGCCAGAAGTGGCTAAGGAGAATCCCGAAGGGACGGAGCGGCAGAGGAACGGGACGTTAGGATCCCAGGGAGCCTCCAGGTCGATTGTGAGATGGTTCACCCAAGCGGCCCTTTCTGGTGTAGCAGGGGCAGCCGGTTGCCCAGGAAATACTGCTGGGCCTGCAATACCTTTGAGCTCAGGTTCTAGCCCTGGGGGGAAAGATTTTGCCAAGACTAGCTGTATTGCAATTCCCAAAGCCTTCAAGTGCGGGAACTGTGGGCTGACTGCAGCCTGCCTCCCCGACCTCATTCACCACCAGAGCAGCCACAAGCCTTGCAATTTCCAGAGTGTGGCAAAAGCTTTCGACGTGGCTCAGATCTAGTTAAGCACCACCGGGTACACACTGGTGAAAAACCATAGCCCTGCCCTGAATGAGGCCATTGCTTCGGTGTCAGCTCCAACCTCTCCAACACCGTCGCTCCCACTCAGGCCTTTGGCTCCACAACCGACCAGAGTGTGAGGAGGCTTTTAGCCACAGCTTCCACCTGGTTAAACACCAAGAGGTGCACACAGGTGAAAGGCCCCCCACCTGTGGCAAATGTGGTAAGACTTTCAGCGTTAGCGCCAATCTGATCCAATACCAGTGCATGCGTACGGGGGAGCAGCCTTGCTGCTGTGGGAATTGCAGCAAGAGCTGCAGCCTTAACTCCAACCTCTTGCAGCATCAGCACTCACACAGGAATGAGAAGCCCTTCCGGCGTGTCTGGTGCGGGGACAGCTTCAGGTGTAGTTCTTATCTGCTCAAGCACCACCAATCACACACTGGTGAGAAGCCCTGCAACTATTGTGAGTGTGGCAAGAACTTCACCAACAGCTCGGACTGCCTACGGTACCAGCGCACCCATAATGGAGAACAGCCCTTCAAGTGTTCTGAATGTGATAGTGGCTTTAGTGAGTGCACCCAGCTCACTGAGCACCAGCACATCCAGTATGGCCCTATGCCTGTCCAGTATGTGGCAAAAGCTTTTAGCACAGCTCCAAGCTTCTTAAACACCAGCACTCATGCATGGATGAGAAGTCCTATAAGTGCCCTGATTGTAGCAAGAGTTTTGTGGAAAGTTTGAATCTGCTGCACTGGCACACTCATAGACCAAGAAGCCTTATGTTTACAATGAGCCAGATCTCCCACCTGATTGTCCACCAGGTGGCCCACAGTAGTGAAAAGCCCTATGTCTGCCTGCAGTGTAGCAGGGCCTTTGCCTGAAGTACCAACCTGGGCCGCACCAGAGTGGCAGCCTCTATAAATATCACTGGCCTCCATTTTAGCTCAAATTTCATCTCTGATTTTGGTCCAGTCCTCAAGGAGCTTGAAGGGACCAGGATCTCTAAGCAGACCCCCTTTTTACTCCCTAAGTCTGTTGACTTAAGAGCTGGTAATGGGATTTAGGAGGATCTCCACATCTTTTGCCAGGCCTAGGTTGAGTCAAGGAACCCCAGGCTGAAAGAACACTAGAGCTGTGATCACTGCCTTCAAAGAGTCTTCCCAGATAAAAGGGGTTAGGTCTGTTCTCTGAGGCTACAAAAAATATTGGTCAGCTAGAGGGAAAGTTTATGGATGGCAGGAGCTGTCCAACCCTAACCCACCTGCCTGCAGATATGGGATATCTCTGGCAGCTGCTGACCCAAATCTTTCACAGGCTTAGGGGGTGATGGGGCTAACTACATTAAGAGCAATGACTGTCTCTTTCTAGAGGAATGAGACCAGTAGCCAGGCAAGCCCCTGTGAGGAGTGCAACTGCATGAGGGGTGGGAGGGTCATTCCTAACCTCTAGATGGGACTGTGAGCAAGGCTGTGTTCTGGTAGAGGGACCAGAGCTCTGGGGTGTATGACTCTGTTAAAAGACTTCTCACAACATAAGAACTCTCTTTAGTGGTAGGACCCCAGAACAGACCTGTCTGTTGAGTTCAGGGGGTTCTTTATGGCATTTTCAGGTAGGGGCTAAAGGTCCAAGGTTTGTCATTCCCTTTCTCAGCCCCTTCCCTCACAAGTTCCCCAAGCTCTTTCTCTGCTCCACTGTCAGTAGAGGAAAGGGTGGTAAAGACTTGCTTGTGTGTAGACACTGGGCCCTGAACATGGCTCTTTTCCCTAGGCAGTGCCCAAACAAATGAATTTCTACTGGTAAAACTTAGTGTATATGGGAGCTGGGGAGGCTTCCCAAAGCACTACATAATCTATACTCAGAGCTGAGAGTCTGAGCTATTATGCCCTGCCCCTGAGCTGCCTTTGTTCCTTGGAGAGGCACAGACTGTAGCCCTTTTGGAGTTGGAAGTGAGAGTTGTCTGTTTCAAGGGCCTAATGCCCACCTCTAGGACCGTGGGACAATCCAACCATTAGCCATGGCATCTGGTCCCCTTCCCCCTAGTTTTGTCTTGTTTCATCAGGCTTGCTGGGTCTAGGACTGGACCCACAGAGTAGGAGCTAAAGGGAAGGAATATGAAGTAACCACACCCTCAGCTTCTAGCACAGTGTCCAGGATTTCTCTTCTTATCTGGGTGACCTTGGACAGGTACACCTTTCTGAGTCTCAGTGTCTTCATCTGCAAAACAGGGATGACTGCCTCACAAGGCTGTGGTGAAGAGTCCATGGGAATACCTACATGAAGCACCTAGGTCAGGGGAGTGACTCAGTAAACTTCAGTTCCCCTTTCTTCCTCAAGTCTAGAGCCCTGTTAACAAGCATCATGCCAGCTCACACAATATCTCCTCCCCAAGAAATGAGCAAGACAGTCTCAGACCTGGGACAGCTACCCTGTGAAGGAAATGGGCTCTGGGATCAATAACAACAGAGTGAATGATGGTGGTGGTGAAGGGGCCTTGCCTGGAGTAAATCCAAGAAGCTTCATGGAGGTGGCATCTAATGAGTGATACTTGCCTCCTCATGCCAGGAGCAATAAATGCCACCCTGCAGGGTGTCAATAATGAGAAAAAGGGTTCTTTACATGTTCCTTATTAACAAGCCAGGGTGTGAGTTGGAGGCCTGAGCCCAGCACACACATAGTAGACACTCAATAAATAATTGTGATCAGGTCCTGTTTACACTGCTTGCTAGTGGCCACAGACCTCCATTTCCTCAGAGTTGCATTGAGTGGGTGTCAAGCAATGTAAATCTACTCTGCAAAATCTGTATACGAACGTTAGATATATGGTAGAGGTGGGCATGGGAGGAGGATTTGTTTACAAAATCCCTCTCAGAGAAGGATTTTAAGATTTCTGGGTCTGTTTGCTTGTTTTGTAAGCTAAATTTGCACATCAGGGCAAGTATTCCTGGGCCTCCTCTCCTCTCAAATTGCATAAAACGGGCCCTGATCCGAACAAGGAGGCAGTCTTCAGAAGCAGGAAGGATGGACTTAATCCAGCAGGAGTTTATCCTGTGCCCTGCATTCACTGCACCCTGAGCTGGGTTTAGAAGCTGCCTAACTGTCCAAGCATGTGACCAGTGATTAGGTCACAGACGAAAAACATTTGTTTTGGCCCTCACACTGTGTGTGTGTGTGTGTGTGTGTGTGTGTGTGTGTGTGTGTGTGTAAACAATTGAGCCAACATTTAGATCCAGACTTTTCTTTCTTTCTTTTTTTAATTGGAGTCTTACCCTGTTGCCCAGGCTGAAGTGCAGTGGCACACTCATGGCCACCACAGCTCAGGCAGTCTTTCCACCTCAACCTCCAGAGTAGCTGGGTTTTAGATGTAGAGGTCTTACATCACAATTTAGATTTCTGGGTTTGTTTGCTTGTTTTGTTGTCTAAATCAGAAGATTCAGAAACATTGGATCTTTATGGCAACAGTTTGTCAAGTAGTGGCTATCCCAAACATGGACAGTCCTCGCCATTCCCTGTCGAATCCCTGCCTCAGCATGTTTTGTTTGCATCACTTACCTGACACACACAGTATCCTTAGCTCAGGAAATCCAGATAAGGCATTTGAGGTTACAATCCCCAGGCTACACTGCCATGGGTGAGAAGGACCCTTCCATACAGTGAAGCCAGAATGTCCCTTTCTCTCCACCCCTTCTTACCATTTTCCTTTCCTCCCCAAACTCCTTAATAACAGACCTGTTCTCCTTCCCTGACCCTGCCTGTCTCCCTGCTACCCTTCCCCTCCAGATATCACCCCCTAATTTGAAGCTCCTTTCCCTATCTGAAAAGGGGCAGGGATAGAGCATCCAGGCCCAATTAAGCAAGACAACCCCCCAAATGCCTTGGTCAGAGATCAGGGTATTGGGCCCTGGCCCTTATGGGCCTCAGGGAGATTGTTCCTGGCAGACATTCTTCACAGAGCTATTGTGGCAAGCGGACAGGTATGGAGGTACTCTGTAAAAGCTAGACTGAAGAAGAGGTGGGACTCAGTAACAGTATCTCTCCTGGCTGGCCCTGCTTCTGCTTAGTTTATTGGGGTTTCTTTTGAGTTGGAGTCTCACTCGGTCGCCCAGACTGGAGTGCAGTGGCCGCTCCCGGCCAC